GCTAAATTTAATAAACAAACCAATTAAAAGTTAGTTGTTTATATAATGTAATTCAATCATAGATTAGTTTAAAGTGCATAGTTACAATTACAACTCCATTCCTTTAACACTATGGTGTTAAAGTTTGAGTCACGTATCTGTACACACACACACACACATATATATATTACCATATAACTAATTAAAGCAATTACAACAAGTCCACAGTAATTATTTAATATTACTTACAGCTAAATGTAAATGTTTCTCTGAAATCGAAAACTGTACTAGCAGTTTTCCTTTCTTTAATTTTTACTACAAAGAAAGTAATTAGTAGCATAGCAATTTATTTGTTGTTTTTTAATTATTTGTATAGTCCACCGGTTGCTCAGCGGTATGTCTGAGGGCTTATAACACTAAAAATTGGGTTGACAGGTCACAGATAGCTGATTGTGGTGCTTTGAACTATTTTTAGAAATTCGTCCCTTGATGCTCAATGGCTAGTATGATACGCCTCCTTTAGTTTGTAAATACCGAGTTTCCTAGGTAACACCGTGCTGGGACCCGGCATGGCCAGGTGGTTAAAGAGTTCGAATCGCAATCTGAGGGTAGCGGGTTTGAATCTCCGTCCTATCAAACATGCTCGCCCTCTCAGCTGTATAACGTGACGATCAATCCAACTATTGGGTTGTGATGACTAGCTGCCTTCCCTCTAGTCTTTCACTGTTAAATTAAGGACAGCTAGAGCAGTTACTATTGATAGATGGGCAGCTAAACCGTATCTGTATGATAATTATTAAAACAGAGCCTTTAACATTAGTTTCCAGCAAGTTACCAGTGGATCAGCATTAACGTCCGATGTTCCATACTCACGATGGACAGTCCATAGTGCAACTTTGCCCCGAAACAAACAGCAGTTAGATTAACTATTTCTTTTTTTTCAATTTTATTTGAGTCACTGTTTTTTGTTGTATAAAATTCCTTAAAGAACAAGAATGAATTTGTGACTAATTCTATTAAATTTTGCCAGAGGTTTAAAACATTAATTAATGTAGTTAATTTTATATACTGTTTATTCATTTCTTGGGTACTCTCACTATTAGCAATATTTTCGGGCATAATTCCAATAATATCTTCCAAGATTGGAACGGTTTAGAAGATTTAGATTAATCTTAAAATCTATAGAAAAAGCTAAAAATACAAATCAATCACCATAATATAATATAAAATAATATATATATATAAGTTCGGTTGTTTGGTATGGTTGTTGTTAAACACAAAGCTACACAATGGGCTATCTGTGCTCTGCCCACCACAGTTATCCCGTTTTGTAGCATCCTGAGCCTGCAGTCTTGCCTCTGACCTACTGGGAGCAGAAATAAGTAAATGAATATATTATGCATATTAAAATTTTATCCAACACTATCATTGATAATAATAAAAACGAGATGATGTAGCTAATAAAAAGTACTTGTTTACTTGTTGAAAAACGTGAAACCAGAAAACTGCACTGACCATCGCCAACTGTTAATATCAGGATTGTTTGTTGCTCGAAATACTGAGTTAAATTATATCTTTTTTAGAATATATCATGTAAAACCTTTCCATTAAATGTTGTGACTTTTGATGGTCTTTTAAACCCACGGCATTATTACCGATAATATAAACCTTGGCAGATATTATTAACTTAATTACCAAAATCTGTAAAATATTTGGTAGAAAAAAATTATGTCATAGTTCAAAATGTTAGAGAAAAGATGGATCGTGAACAAATTAGAATATTTTAATGTATTTATTAACGTAAAATAAAAGTAATGTAATAATAATAATATTGTAGTATAATACTGAAAAACTGAAATATTGATTCAAAATATTTTTTTCAATATATCCTTTGGAACAGTATTGGTATTTCTATTCGTTCAACATTCGTCCCATCTTGAGAGAGGAAAGGCTCATAAGAATGACTCTCAGATTTGTGTCTGTTCTGATATTCAAGAAAATTTCTCTCCTAACACGTGCAGCTAGCTTTCCAAGTTATAAAGCATCGCGAAGAAAAAGATGCGTAACATTTGAAATCAGGAGATTTATTTTACAACAGAATTCTCAGAAAATTTTGAGCATAGTGATTTAAATAGGAGATAGATGGCCGTGTATAAAAGAACAAAATCAGAGAGAGAGTAGTAATTTCCGGGCGTTTTGATTGAATGACAGTTCATTGTATATGTCATTCTGGTCTAATCCCCGCAAAAACTGTCGAGATCTTGAACGGTTTGATATGAATGTTAAATCCCCAGTTGATGAGTAGTTTCCTGAACATTTAGCCAGCTTTGCCTACTAAAATAGTTTATTGCGTGTTCACTTCAGACAGACCCCATTGATTTCCTTCCATCGTGTCATAAGACAGGGATATGAGTTGCACTATACAGCATAAGCGTCGAGTCTAGGTACGTCGAATTCAGTTTCAGAACTACATAAAAGGATATTGATGGATCTTAATAGATATATGTGCCAAGAGCTGCAGGTTTTCCTTTAAACATTCTCATGATATTTTTCTCGACTCTCCAAACGCAATAGATCGTTTTGTTTGGCCATTTATTGTGCTTTAGTAACGTACTTTGTCACGAGGGAAATTTTTAAATCTGTGGTATCCACGATGTAGTTTAGAAAGTATTTTACATTGCAGGATTAATTAATTTATAAATTAAAAATAACAATAGAAATAATTCTAGCATACACACCGAGAAAGTAAATTAAGGAGAAAAATATTCATATTAAGTTGCTTTAATGATGCATAATTTAGTAAAGGAGTTTCATTTCTGAAACACCACCGAAGGCTGTTTGAAATATGTCACCAGAATAAATTAAAACTTTCCGCAATGTTTGTAAAGCATATATGACAGAATATTATTTGTTTCCTACACTTTAATTCCATTAATTATGAGCTCGGATTTCAACTTTTTTTTTGTTTGTTTTCAAATCCTACCCTTCTGCTTTCAAGTCAGCGATTTCAATTCGTTAGTGCAGCATCTTATTGTGTACGTAAACGTTACAGCGGCAATAGTAGAGAAATGAAGCTGGCTGTTATGCTTTGAGTAATTAGACTAAGACTTTAAATAAAAAAGTTTCAAACCAAACGAAAATAGCTATCTGCTTAGTGACAAATAGAGAAACACTGATAAAAATCGACCTTTCTCAAAGACGCTCTAAATTTAAATGTGATGTCAAATATAAAAGTATATTTTTTTTATTCATAACTCTAGTAAACTGAACGTGGGCCAAAAACATGTATACAAATTTTGTTTATTTGTTTGTTATAAAGCACAAACTATACATTGGGCTCACAACATAAAAATCAAACTGTTTAGACAAAGCAATAGTTCGAATATTGCAACATGTGAAGTAATGGATGAAAAACTTAGACAATCGAATAATTAGCTTCATATGTTGGATCACATTCTCTCCAAAGTTTTTCATGTTTTTAACAGAAAAAACTCTTGTTTATTTACTTAGTTACTGAACAGATGAAATCAGTTGTATGTTTGACATGTTTAGAGAACTGTATTCAAAAACCTCTGATCAGACGGAATCAGTTGTTAGTTTAACATGTTTAGAGAATTGTATTCATAAACCTCTGATCAGACGGAATCAGTTGTATGTTTGACATGTATAGAGAACTGTATTCAAAAACCTCTGATCAGACAGAATCAGTTGTTAGTTTGACAAGTTTAGAGAACTGTATTTAAAATCCTCTGATCTGACGGAATCAGTTGTTAGTTTAACATGTTTAGAGAATTGTATTCAAAAACCTCTGATCATACGGAATCAGTTGTTAGTTTGACAAGTTTAGAAAACTGTATTCGAAAACCTCTGATCAGACGGAATCAGTTGTTAGTTTGACAAGTTTAGAGAACTGTATTCTAGAACCTGAGATTTGTTTATTATATCAATTAATATTTTGAACCCTTTTTTAACCCTCGCACTATTTTAAAAATCATTGCATGTAAAATTAAAGTCAATGTGACTGTACAAATACATTTTACTGAGTCATTCAGTAAATATTATATTTTAATCCCCCCCCAGTCTCACAGCGGCATATCCGCGGACTTACAACGCTACAACCCCGGTTTCGATACCCGTAGTGGACAGAGCATAGATAGCCTTTTGTGTAGCTTTGCGCTTAACTTCAAACAAAGAACAAATTATATTTCAACAAGCATAAACATATTGAAAACAACGTTATCATTCAATTAACTTCACAGTACTTTGTAAAATTGTTAAATATTTTTTTGTTCTACTTTTAATTTATTCGAATTAGAAACTGCATTTAAATCACTTAAATACTTAACTTTAGTACATGTTCTTTATGTCATTAAAGGAATTGAAAATGGTCTACCATCTGATCTAAATAAGAGGAGGAGAGCGTTCAAATTCAGATACTTGTTAATATTGATCGATAAGATCAAGAAAAAAGCTTTAAGCACTGAAGGTATATATTGGATTTAATGGAGAAGCAATCTTTCGTCTTTCGACATTATCCTGTACAGCTAAAAGGCTGTCAGTTTGATTTTGCTGATTAATGATGGTATGATATATTAGTTTGTGACAGTACTTGATGGCATTTTCAGTTGTGCAATAAAACTGAGAGCACTGGACACAATGTCCGTTACTGTATTATGGTTAATACCACTCTGAAGAAATGGTGGGACGTTAATACTTATAACGATACACGGAATGTTTCAGTTCTTATTCGTTATTCTTATTCAAATTCGGAGACTTCCGTTCTCCTACAGAGGGCGCAACTTATATAGCGGCCTTGGCAGTTCTCCAAACAGGCAACAAATGACAAAGACGAGTCGAGAGTCGGTTGCCACGAAACGATGGAGTCCGATTAACAATTTGGTAGCGCATAGAAACATAATGTTAGTATTATTTTATTGGAAATTTCGGAAAAGTACATAAAATGTAATTGTAAAACTCTATAAATTCTAATATATAAAAACTCTATATAATATTTTTCCTTTAGCCAGTCGCAGTTGAGTGTCTGTTATGAAACTTTGTTAAGAGTAAAAGTTTCAACCAGAGTTTTCCTCAGATGGTGCAGCATTTTTCAACCAGAAGAATTTCTCACTAGAGACCCTAGCTATGACCATTCTCATTGGAAGCTTTGTTAGGGTATTATCAACGTTAACAATGACTATCCATTTTTCTGGAGCCAGAGCAAGTAAGTGTTTTCTCCATCTATGCTATGTGTGTGTGTGTGTGTGTGAAATTAAATCGCATATGCTTGTGAATCTCCACGAACCACAACAGAAATGCAGTTATGATTTAGTCATATGCGTTTATTACGTACGAAACAAATAGTTTTGGCTAAGATTTCTTATCACGTTAGTCATTCGGATGTAACTTTCAAAAAGCTTCATTTGTTTTTGTCTGGCTTGGATGACATTTATCTGTCACTTGACACATATTTTTAACTTTTCTCTTCAAGTTACATATAAGGTTCTAATTTTTATTAATATAGATTTGGTTTTCTTGTATTACACGTTATATACGGGTTTTATCGTGTGTTCCGGGTAATCTTGGCACCTCACCGGTACACAGTAGAATTCACATTCTCTATGTACAAGCGTGCCGAATGTTGCATCTTTAGGATTACCAATTTACAGTTCAAATAAACTAATATTTTCTTAGAGACACACATTAATAATCATTCACGAAAATACGACCATTTACTATAAAATACACGTTTAATTTTACTTAAAGAGTAGCCTAGCTGCGTTGGCATATTACTGGTCAAAAAAGTATATTTTAGAAGTGTATATTGAAAACTTAATTTAGTTTGAAAAGTGTTAACTCCTGAAAATCTGACACAACATTGTGACATTACTTATTTATTTAATGAAAACAAATGTGTCTTCAATGTAAAAGCGTAAAAATCAAGTTTGGGGAATAAAATATCGTGGTGACGTTTTATGTATATAAGAATATACAGGCAAATAACATCCATTCAACAACCACTGCAAAGTTCAACTTCACGCAGAAAGACTACGAGCAACGGTGTAATGTAACTACAGACAGTCGACTAAATTAAATCCGCTTGAAACAAACATATTTCATCCAAATAATCGCAGTATTAATAATTGTTAGCGAAACGTAGCGGATATCATCAACAAACTTACACTAACTATTTATTTCCATGTTTTATTCAAAAATTTATAACGTGCCCTCACTTTTCATTCACGTATGTCCCCAAAAGCAACAAATGTTTTATCACTTCCAAAATAATAACGCCAGAATACCGATGTGATTACCAAAACTTCTAAATGTTTCCTTGCTAGACATTATCTTACATTTTCATATTATTCATGCTTACGGTTACATGTATACTCTTTGCACTTTGCTGTAGAGCTTCTAAATGTTTCCTTGCTAGACATTATCTTACATTTTCATATTATTCACGCTTATGGTTACATGTATACTCTTTGCACCTTGGTGTAGAGCTTTTAAATGTTTCCTTGCTAGACATTATCCTACATTTTCATATTATTCCTGCTTATGGTTACATGTATACTCTGTGCACCTTGCTGTAGAGCTTCTAAACGTTTCCTTGCTAGACATTATCTTACAATTTCATATTATTCATGCTTATGGTTACATGTATACTCTGTACACCTTGCTTTAGATCCTTAAGCTGCTGCTTTGATTTATTTGTAGCTGCGTTTCAACTATTCATGCTATTTTCATTTAAGACATGTGGAGTTTTTTTACGGACTATAACTACTGCTGTAAGAAACATGTTCCATGAATGTAACTATCAAATAATTTTCAAATACGTCCTTTTTTATGCAGGTATTTACTTCTCACACAGTTACTAAGCGTTTTACAGTCAGCGTAGTAACGTAATACTTCATTGGTATTGTCATTGTTCAAGAGGTTATTGTAATCCGAATAATTAAAGTTAACCTCCATGCTCGAGTTCTGGATTACTTTCGAGTCAATGCTGATATCAATGGTACCTTCCGTTTTAGCAGATGATAACCCTAATCCTACTTACATTAGAAACAATAACTGACACAAGCAGGAGCCTACATTACAAACATTATTACGAGTAGTAGAGGGTTATTATCATTAATACTGCTTTTTTTAGTCCCAAGGCCTCTTACGACCTTTGTGGCACTTTAGATGCTAATGCGTCATCGTTGATTTTCGAGGAGAGTTACCTGGTGATACCCACATCTTTCCCGGGTATAATATTCTAAAGTTTAATACCAGTAGGTGTTACACTAACACATGCTTAGGTTAAAAGTAGCCTTTGTATTAGTTCTGGCTTGTATTAAAAATAATATTGACATTGGCACTAGTTTACGTTAGAATAAGTGTTGACTCGCGTACAAGCTTATTACAGGAGTTAACACTAACTCTGGCTGAACATTACTAGAACTGCCTTACGTTAAAAAAGTGGGAACATTACCACTGGTTTACATGAGAAGAATCTTAACATTAGCTCTAACTTATGTTTGCGTCAATGATTTATTACATTTGCTAGGACTTACATTAGAGGGAATATTAATATTACTATAAAATTACACTATAATTACGTTGGCACTTAAAACGGCTGAAACTATCATAATATCTAAACAATATCTGGTTTATATTAGAAACAGTCTTTACTTACATTTTGAATGTAAAGTTGGTACGTATCAAAGGTAACTTTGACACAAGCAATGAGTTGCATATAAACAATATCAAAATGAGGAGTGGCTTACATTAGTATGATACCGGAACTATCACAGCCATGCTTCACAGACAATGTCTATTATACAACACCAGCTAATGTCACAGCAGATGAGATTGTTATACCCCCTATCCTTATGTTCGCTCTAAGACAGGTTAAAACTATAGATTTAATGGAATACATCTCTATTCTTAGAACCACTTTTCATGCTTTACTTTACCTTAAATTAAAGAGATTGTAGCCAATCTATCATAAGTGACACTAAACCAATTACTGAAAATAATAAAGCTCTTATAATAGATATATAATCCCATTCTCCCTGTTTTACGTCACAGATTAAATTGAACTATAACACAATTTTCACTACTGATACACTAATGCAATTTCCATTAGATCTAACGGTAAAATCATACAGGTAGGCTTAAAATATAACGAATACCAATGACAGCGGCTTACGTTACAACACATATTAACTCTATATTACGAAATCCAAGAACATTCTCGGTCTTTTCTACACATTAATAATCCTGTTATTTCTTCAAGCTTTCCACTTCTTAGCTTGAGTTGTTAACACACGTGTTGACAGCTTAAACTAATTATTATATCAATGTTTACATTGTACATTTTTGTTTTACAGTTTTCAGTTTAGTTTTGACAATTATTAACTCCGATATTCCCATTATAAAATCATAAATAATATTCACCGTTAAACTGGTACACAATTAAAAACACTTTGTAACGTCGAAACATGTAGAGTCGTCAACTTTTTGAAGGCCATAGAT